AGGAGAACATACACACACACAAAAAAAAAAAAAAAAAATAGAAGTTTTTTTTTGTTTCGATACAAAATTTTGTTTTTCTAGAAAAGTTTTGAGGTTATGTAATTTTCAGTGGATCAACAACAGCTTTATCCTGTGAACCGGTTTTAACTGGATTTAACGGTACAGCAAAGTGGTTAAAAGACGGTAAAGTGGTGGCTACTGTGACCAGGTAAAAGAGAATATAAAGTAAAGGAAAGAAAAAAAAAAGTGGAGTGGTCTTATTGATAGGGAAAATCAAAATGTTATTTGGGTTTTTATGTAATTATAAGATTGAGTAAAAAAAAATTTTTTTTTTTTGTTTAACCATTGGCAATAACTCTGCTCATTGTTTAATGTGTTGTTGCTCAAAAAGATCAAATTTCTGTTCTGCTATTTTTCTGGTGGAACAGCAATATAATTTTTTGAATAAATCATATCAATTAGCAATTAAATAAGAGCAGAAGAAGAAAGAAAAAAAATAAAAAAAAGGAAACAGAAATTTATATGGCTTTAAAGTGAGAGACAAATTTGTGGGGATGGGGAGAATCTAAAAATAAACATAAACAGTTCTTTGGTGGCAACAGTTTGCTCTTTTTTGGTTTCCAATTTCAGCAGTTCAAATGCAATTCTGCATAATCGTCCGTATCATAGTGAACAACCATTGCCAGATGTTGGATTTTTGGTGATCACAAGTATTAATAAAGGTATTTTTTTTTTGTTGGTCATAAAAATTTGCTTTAATTGAATGTGAAAAACAAAAAAATTTATTTTTTGTTTCTTGTTTCATTTTCAACTGATTGGATACAGTTTAAAAAAAATTAGATGAGTCTTAACTAGAAAAAAGCTCTTAAAACTATCGGTAGTCGTTATTTTTATGCTTTATTATTGTTAAAATTGTTGTAGTTGAAAAAAAATGTTCTGATTTACGAATTTGTGACAACAGATAAATGGTTTTGAAATTTATTGCTGTTCGAAAGAAAAAAAAAAAAAAGTAGAAAAAAGTTTAAAGGTTCAATTGCATTAAAAGTGTGTAATGTGTGATATTTTCAGAAGATGAAGGAAAATATTGGTGTAGACGTGACGATACCAGACAAGAAGGTGAAATTACAAACATTCGTGTTGCTTATGTTGATGATTTCCCAGCTGGAACAGTACCGATCTTTAAGCCAATAAAACCGATTATTGGCGATAGAGTTGAAGCAACCTGTCCAAAGGTTTCTGCAGTACCAGAACCATCAGTTGTCTGGCTACTGGTAAATATTAAAGTTGTAAAAAGTGTTGAGAAAATGGTTTCAAAATATAAAGATTTGTATCATTGAAGCTTGATCTTAGTTTATTCAAATTTTTTTTGC